ATGAGGTGAAATGCTGTTGTTACTGAGAATTGGGGGATACTAGAATTGAAAATCCCCATTGAGTCATATGAAAAAAAGAAGACCTTCAGCGAAGAGACTCTTTTCGGCAAATTCATTCACATAGCTGTACAGTCGCATTTATATTTAATTATTTGTGTGTGTATAGATGAGGTTTGTCAAGTTTACATAATTGATTAGTTGATGCAAGAATGATGGAATATAGAAACAAAGTTAATCAGACAGAAACTAAAGTAAGATTGAGTTAGTAACACAGTAAGAAATATTCTTCCTGTAGGTGTACGAATCAGACTTCTTCAAACTGCAGAAGTAATGGCGATTCACTTGCTAAATCCTGAACTCTGCATACAGAAGAAGTTCGTTCAATCACTACACTTGCAATGGACGTAATCTATGTTATTAGCCGACAAGTGAATTCTACCTAATCTTTTCTTCTGTCGCTTCCTTAGTATTATTTTGTCTTCTCAATTGTGATACTTTACATTTTCAACTTTCTTGTTCTCTACCTCCACCCGATTCAAGTTATACACCTCCTACCACCGTCACTGACTTGAACAAAGCTCAATTTCTAGTCATTTATCTTACGTCATCCAACTTATTTGCTCAATTTCACTTCTACTTTGTCTCTACCTGTAATTACCTCTGATCTAAGTTGAAACATTTTAGTCAATTATATTACGTCATCTAGCTTACTAACTCACTCTTACTTTAGTTGCTGTCTGATACTAGAATTACTTATTTCCTATTTGTGTGCATTGATTGCATAATATTTCTCATTGTATGTCATCACTATTGACAGAACATTTAGGAAAGCGATACGCATTGGGCTGTGTATCTGTGATTCAGTCGCAGAATGTTGGCCAACCTCTTATGTGGTGTGACTTCCATTCCTCGCCACCTGATGCACTACCACACACAGCCTGAATAGAAGGAATTCTGGAAAAGAACGAAGGTTGTTCCTCAGACAAGTAGCGCCACCCAGTAAATGCACGACTTCAATTCTACTCAAACTTCAATCCTCTAACTCGAATCTGTGTGTTCCATTCAGTACTCAGATGGAATGAACACTAACGTATTTTAACCTCAAGGAAGCATGAAATATTCAAGGATATTAGGTACACTGAGACACGTGAATTGTACACGAACAGTCATTGTTCCACTAGAAATTTTGTGTCATTTTGATGAAGGAAATGGACGGTAGGAGTAATTTCAGTGGAGGCATATCACGTTGTTTACCGTGATGAATTTGAATCAAGTCTGGAAATCAGTTTGAACAGGATGATGTGATGTATGATTTCTTGAAATCGGTTTTCATCAACTCCACTGCTTATCAGATGAAACATTCTGAGCACTGATATTTAAAAGATGATTTCACAGCCCTGAAATAATTCTACTACAACTACTATTACTGCATCAAATGGTTGTCACAATTTATCGAAATCACTTATTCCTTCAATAATGCCAGTTTGTTATAAAATATTTGGATTTGTCATCGCCTTCTTCGAATTCCGAGCTTCGCCATTGCGACATCATTTCGTTTCACGCTATGAAGTTTCACCATCTGTGGTTTCCTCTACACATGGTTAGCCAGTTGACCTCTCTCTGTTCCTGTTTCTCTACTGACTAGTGAGGAAGGCGAGTTTTCGCATTGCATCGACTGGAAATCTCACCTGAATCGCATACATGGTTGGTACCTATTCTATCATTGTATCACCGACGTTGATGTGGATGGAGTATAATTCCATGATAGAATAAGTTCATTTCAGACAACATACACAGTAGTGCAATATGACTTACTGATTACGTTCCGAGCAGAATTTATCGCCCATAAACACAACGTGATGCCAGAGATCACAATCAGATTCACCTACAGTACTGATACTGCTCATCCTTTAATTTTATTGATCAAAATAATAATAACAATATTTTCCGAATGATTGCCACTGTGTCGTGTGATTACTTATCAACTTGTTTGATGTCCAGTTACAGTAGAAACACTAAATACAGTTGCAATGAGAGTGAGAGATTGCTGTCAGCTTCTGTCTGTGTGGAGAAATTCCGTTGAAGTAAAAGGTTGTTAACAGTCGCCTTGACGGATCGGGGTGAATTTCGTGTCTTTGACATACTTGTTTTGTCTTTCTAGGATTTGCTTATCTCGACAGAATCACTAGTACCTACGAAGTTCCAGGTGATTAGGGTTTTGTGAATATCTGCTTCGATTTGTTGAGACGTATCATGTGGATACACGCACTGGAAAGCTATAAGAATCCTTTCTGGCCTACCTCTCCGTAGCTTTCTGTGAATAGATATGTATTACTAGTCTCTACTTTTTATTTTGAGCACATCACTCAATGTTAAATATTCCCTAGTGAATTATAAATGAGGTTACGAGTAGTTTATTGAGCACTTGGCCATTTTGTTCACGTTAATCACTTGACTAATCTCAACGCATTCAGGTGAATTTTCAGTTGGCTCTCTTCACCTGTCGAAAATAATTGATTGTTACTCAGAGCAAAGACTATCAATCATCATTTCACGCAGATTCCGAGACCATCAGGGTATCATTCATATAATGCGCTATATGTGAGGGGGTTAATTTGAATTTGATTCAGTGGTGGAGGCGGTTGGAAGAGAAACCTAGTAGACAGTGAAATTGTAAACAGAAGCATCAAGGTGATGTGAACTTCAGGTGAGGAGTATCTTCAAATCATGATTACTATCAATTCGTAAAATAAGAGCAATTTCACGCCATTCTTCATTTCGTCCGGACATTGATCTGATGAGGTAAGACTGTTTCGCAGAATATACTTATTAGACTTGCGTCAAAAGATTTACCTCCCTCATATTCGCCTCTATCTTTCTGGGATTTTAATTGTCGATCGTGTCGAAACAGTGAAATGGAACTATGCACTAGATATTCTAATGCGTAGAAGCACACACTGATACAGTAATATTTATTCGTTGAAAATCAGAACATATTTCATTGGTCAAGCAGACTGCTGACTTGTGTTTCATTGCATGCATCTTTCGTTGAGTTATCCAGTGTGCACTGTCATGCCATCTGAGTCTGAAATTCTAAGTGTTAACGTTTACTTCTGCATCTCTTCATGAATACTGATGTGTCATCTATAGTTGTGATTCGTGGTTTCAGTCTGTTAATTAATAAATGAAATAGTTTCTGTCTTTTTGCAGTTTGTAGGTGCCCAGTGATACTAGGCTCAGTGTTTATTTCAGTCTTTTCACTTTCAAGTGCAATTGCCGTTCACTGGTGTTTTGAATCATTCTAAACAAGATGTTGAAATGATATCGGAGATTCCCAGTGGTACACGATTCTTCACGAGAAGTGTGCTTTCACACACAGAAGCTTCAACCGTGCGTTCCTTGGAAGTTTGAATTGATGTTATAGGAAGTGGTTGGTTCTTGAGGGGAGGAATTTGCGGGATAAATGGACACCTGAATTATTCCATCTCAAATAGGTGGTATGTAATCATACAGATAATTTAGCAGAAGTGCCTCGTGAATCCACTGATTCGCATTTAAATCTTTGGCCTACTACGCGGATTTCTAACTTCGGATTGGTCACACTTGCAGGTCAATTCGTGCAATGGCCTTTTGGAGAATCTGTATTATTCTGAAACCGTTTCTCATCCATCGCCCTACACATTTCTGCGTTTCTCATATCATGACTCACAACCATTCCTGATACCTTATGCTCGATGTTTGTTAGTAGTGTGAAGCTGTTTGTTGTGTAGTTGTGCATGTCGTTATAATTCATACACGTGACAACACTATTCCTCATAATAGATTTCAAGGACCAATCTGTGTACCGTTCAACCAATCGATCTAAACCTTCTTCCTGTACAAGTCATTCACAACCGTCGTAAAACGGCTCCCGACGGTGGCGTCATCTACGAACACTAAGAAGGACGACTGAATGATCTAAGGATTCTCAATTCAATATATTAGTATATGTTAGTAATCAATTATAGGCATACTCTTAGATGATCCTCTCCTCACTGGCTGCATAGACTTATGAGAACTCACCGTCAACCTTCAACCAGTCCTAACTTCAGTCTTTTGTCGTCTTACGTTTTCCAAGTTAGATTTATTTTTTGTTGTTCTAACATACTTTGAAATAGATGAGTATGTGTTGAGCTGGTGTAGAGGGCATGGGGATAATCCTCATACTGTAATAAAATTAGATGATGACGATGACGATCTTTGTGAGATGTTGTCGTCGGCTTTCGATATGCACCTAGTGGACGTGTACGTGAGTATAATAACACTGTACTTGATGTACAACTCAACTGATACGATTAGATGCAATTATTCGTCCCTAATGCCTTCCGCCTCACTGAGTCTCGTGAATATCGACAGACATAGACTGGCATGTGACTGTTTTAATGTGGAATTTTATTAAGGATACACACATCACATTTCTACATCTTTTCAGCCACACTAAAATTCGACTAGGTCAGTGAAAATGAAATATTCCAATTGGTTGGCGGTTGGCTGAAGGTGAGAATATGAATTAAGAGTGTATTCCAACGGGGTTATCTCATGTTCATAGCATGGAATAGGTGCAGACTTGAGAAATAAACACTTCTCACTCTGCAGCTAGCCATTGACTTGAAATGATGATTTCAATTTCGAGGATTCCCTACACCTGAACTCATCAGCTTTCCAACGGAACAAGATAAATTAGCTGGAATGGGGAGAGTGGTATGAATGTTAATGTTCACTAGCACTGTAGGAATGTTATTTGTGTCCCTCATTCATATATTGATATATGGGTTAACACACGTCTTACCGATTCACACTGCTGCAGACAAGACTGCGTATAGAGAAGAACCATTTACAGGAAGAATACCACATGACTTTCAGTCGGTAAGTCACAAGCACAAATCTATATTTCTAGTATCTCTCGTCTCACAAGCCTTCCCATCCACAACATATTGTAAAACATCAAAATGAAGCGCCGATCATCATTAAAACTGTTTATTAACCACTGTTCACAGATAAACGCATAACATCACACCTTGTCGAGATGTAGCTTCGTGAAGAATATGGATGTAGGATTGATCCGGTTTCTTGACAGACAGGATCACTTCAAACGCCTTTCATGTGATTCACCTTCATTACGCAGATTATCTTCATGTATCATGCGAGAGATTTCATCAAGCTTGTCTCCCACTGATCTTTTCAATGTATCTAATTCAAAGAGATAGAGAAGAATTGCATAAACTGGTGATACACCTAAATTTATCACTGTGGCATAAGTCACAGTGTTCAGCAATGTGAGGAGAATGGAAATTTCCTCAAAAATCAATAGTGAATATTAGTGGTGATAAGAGAATTGAGAAGGCTGTATTTCATATAATCACTAGTCTACTCACCTGCTATGGTTTCGAGTGTTGGTTGTGCTTCTGAACAACCGACAGTCAGTACCAACAGTATTGACAGACTGACGAATGTGATCTGCTTCAAAAATTCAGACGGAAATTCCACATACCTTCATTCTGATCTTCTTGCTTGAGCTCAGTCTATGTTGTGTAAGAGGTTGTCGACGATTGTTTATATACGCTTTCAATGGGTAGAATTTCATATCAAGTTTCATATGATGTATTCATGTGAGTACGGTCATTGTACAGTGAAAATAATAACTATGCGAATTTGTCATCTTCATTGTGAGAGCGGAAGCGCTGAATGCACTTTAAGGGCAAATTAAACACGTGCTTCAAAATTCTGGTTCACTCTGCTCACATGTTTCATGAAGATGAGAAATGTTATTGTAATCTATGTGAGCAGATAGAGATTATTTACTGAATTGTGTGAATGTGGCTGCTTTCGGTGTTATTCTACAAACACCTCCACCACCATGGCTGAATCCCAATCCGTGTTTGTTCTGAAGTATGATTGTGTTGGATTAGTGTGTAGAGCAGTGGGTATTTCAACTGTTGAAGTTATCATACTTAAGTGGCAATTCTGAGACGATGGTTGTTGGAAAAGGCAGTCGGAATAATACGCCAAATACTGACGAATGTTTGTGATACTCTAATCTGATGGAGAGTAAAATGGATCACACGCCATAACTGGCTTCTAATGAATCATTTGGAACATGCATAAATATCGTGTTTCCAGTGATGATAACTTGATATTGAATGCAGACGTGTGATGCATGGATTCAACACGATGTTAAGAACCATCACTTCTGATCTGAATCAATGTAGATGTCACGTAACTGTCGGATATCGCATGATTACTCACAACGATATACTCTGGCAAATATCCACCTCGATTATTTTAGCAGTTCATTTCCAAGTATTCCTTAGACTACGAATTCCCATTGGCAGAAACAAACACTTGTACATATGGAGCAGACCAGTAATTGGCTTTGGTTACTGGAGGTAGTCGATAAGCACTGACTAGACGTGATCAGAATACAATCTTGCATGCTACTGTATGTTGTCTTCTCGATTATCGAATGGGGTTGCCTGACGAGTAAAATGGCGTAAAACACAATAAGTAGATGACTAGGGACCAATACATGACTGGCGAACACTACTCACTCCTGAGTAATACATCAAGATGGACGATATTTCAGGGGGTCGTGTTGAACCACAGAGTTATCTGCATCTCGTGAACTGTGTGATTTGTCACATAACAGAGTCACTCAGAATGTGGAGTAAGAAACACGATCTACATTCATTGATAGTTAATGCATGAATTGCATTGATTCCAATGGAGAGTAAAGCAATGCAAGTTCTCCAACTGTTAACTGCAGAATGCATGTATCTGTGTGCATTCATCCTACATCTGGAGCAGTTCAGAGACTTACTGTGTATTTATTGCTACAGTGATTTTATCCAAGCACACATGAATGAATGCACATTTCTGAGGAATATTCGCAGGTGTACACTGCTGGAGCATTCCCCTTCCGAAGAAGGTTTTCAGTCGGATAACACAGTCAACTTACTCTCATGAGGTAAGTTACCTGGCCAATTTATTGCGCAAATCAGTTTGTATTTGCTCAGCATTCTAAATAAATGCTGGCTACATTTTCTGGATCTGTTCGATAAGGTGAAACTGGGAAAGTTAACTAACTCCTTGAGGGACCTACACACACTCCGGAGAATAAAAGTCAACACCTGAGATTCTCCATGAAATTACACGGATTGGCTCAGAAGAATGAGACTTACTGCAGACTGTCAAAATGTTGTTGTCTTGGTTCGTAGAAAAACCAGTATGGTTAACCAGTATCACGTCTATAATTCAGAGGAGGATAGCAGGTGCTGGCTTGACATAAAATGGTAGGCGATCAAACTGTTGAAAATATCGTTGTGTGTTCTACATTTTTAATTATTGTGATGAACTCGACTCCAGTTTTCTTCCTCAAGCTGTATGTTTGTGAAGTCGGTCGACACACAGAGTGTTTATCGGTAAATTCGTTCGAGGCTCTTGATGCATGACAACTTCTTTGTACTACTTCGACCATCACTATCATTATTACTGTTCATTCTTTGCATTGAGACTGGAACACTGAGGTTGAACAGCCCACCACCGTTGCACTCGATTCCGCACCATCACCCTCGATTGGCTCCACAACTTCCTACAAGCATTCGTCTCCCCTTGACATTATCTTCTCCTTATCACACTAGGACACCCATTTCGTCATTTCCCTGTTTCTGTTCCACTCGACGGGCTGCAGTGCGTGCATGTCACTTCAACGTCTCCTTCGCGTTTCTCTAATCTATCTGCATTTCCTTCGGCATATTTGTTGGCGAGTAGGCTGTTGTCTGCTTCGCTGCCAGAGTTCCTCGTTGCTTTCTTATTCTTTCCGACCGGCGATCTTATCTTCAGGATCGAATGAGGGTGAGTATTGACGGAATTGTACCGTGGCTCCGAGTCTCTGAGCGACGCGAAACCGGAGACTTGATTTAAGTGTTGAAATCTCGAAATTGTTCTGCTTTGTGAAAAGTTCTGCGGATCACCCACCACACGGATTTCAGAGTGACGAGCCTATATTCGGATTCGCATATCTGGGTGTCCTTGAAAACTTTATCTGTGCTGCCTGTGTTTCGAACAACGCTGACTATGCAGTTGAAAGAGACGATGCGATTTGTATTTCATGCAGAGATGTTGACTGGTGCAGATTGTTGTTGGCGTGATAGCTCCATTAACCCTGTTTTCTCTGTGTTCACGTAAGGTTCTTACGTCACGGCTTCTGCAACCAGATTTTTAATTATCGTTTTTCTAACTTTGAGTTTATGCGATGTCAGTAATAAATCATCTGAAATTTGCAGATCCTCTGATTTCTTCATATCGGTCCGACTCATTCCTTACTCATCTCGTTCATCACAGATAGGATAGTCAATGTTTGTGGTAGGCGTGTTTGTCATCTTCCCACCTGTAATTTGACGACTCCACTAAATGCTTCATAGTAAACTCGCATATCTTCTAATTCTTTCAATACATCACCGGAAAACAGATTCAATAATAATGTCAAGAGAAGCTGGTGAAATTCAGAGCTTCATGAACATTAAACTCCAAGTATCCTTAATGCATACATTTATACAATGAATGATGGAGTAGTGGAGATTGTGGAGGAATTATGTTGGTATCAGTGTGATTTAAACTGAACTCTGCGATGAATCGTCTTCATGATCACCTAACTACCTACCTATGATTTGTGCGGATGCATTCAAGGCCAGTTGGAGATTGGCTTTAACTCAGAAACACTGTTACAAGCAATTTCTGAATTAATCGACTAATCGACTAGGAAATGTGACTATTTCCATTGATATTGTTGGTTTGCGAACTAATGTTCCTACCGACGATGTCATGAGTTAGTTAATTTGTTTTTTTCGAATTTGTCCATATGTGAAAGAGTGATTGAAAGGTGTGCGAGAATCCACTGACATCTGTTAACCCTTCTCCTGCGCCATTCTCAAAGTCAACTCTCCACTCAACAAACAATCACTTATGTACATGTGTGAAAATATCAGTCATGACATGTTATCTGAGATACAGGTGTGTGCTCGAAGTGATGATTGACGAAGGAAAGAGGCTTAGTTGGAGGATGAATCGAACCAACACTCAGGGTTATGATCAGCTGAATATTGAACTGGAAATTGCATTTTCACGCGAGTCTAAACTGTCACACAATCTCTCGTCAACCAACCCGAAACTGTATTCAGGCATTTCGAAAATAAACCAGCCACTGCACTCATAACTAACTGAGATGCATGTTAGTTGGGATTGTCTGAATAATAAAGTGGATGAGGAGAATTTTACAATCCACAAATCTGCATAAGTGCTTAGTGAAATCCTTAATGACCTCAATTCAATTATAGTTCTCAGGATTGTGAAAAGTACATCATCAGTGAGAGGACTGAATTTGAATAACATTGAAATAGAATGTGAATATTGGAATTCTAGGTATACTTTAACGTGGGAAAGTGCATTCTCGTTGACTATCCTCACAGTGAAGCAAATAGATTTAATGTGTATCTCATGATTATTCCCATTCAACAAACAACCAACATTCTCACCTAAACACGAAAAACATGAGAAACAGCTAGTGAAATTCTCTTCCCGATAACCATATATATACACATGCCGCCTAACCGTAAGGCGAAATCTCAAACAGAAAATCTGAAACGAGAAGAATACGATGAAGGCAAGTTGCATTCTCATCTGAAACATCAATGTAGATCCCATTCCTCGGTCTATGCATACTCTCGTTACTGGTCATCAGTTGTTCAGAGGCACGTCCAAATCAGAAACAGAGAACAGGTGAGTAGACTGGTGTTTGTGTTTCATTCTGACTGCTCAATTATGTTTTTCGCGGTGCTAGATGAAATTGAACTTCTGACACATTTTCCTTCTACACTCACTCAGTCATTCACTCACTCACAAATATTGTTAATATTACAACACACTCTCATGCAATAATGATGAAAATAATAATAATAATAATCGCAGTCGGCTTTATTCTAAAAACAGTACTACTATTACAGCATGGAATATTCAGCATTCCTCACAGTGTTGCATCTAATTTACTCCAAATGTGAATCGAATTAACCACAAGATTATTTCCACATTCACAGTAGGAATATTTGTGTGTGCACGTCACTGACGCTTGCTATTTATTGTTTATTTCTGATTGAATTAGATGAATTGGTGAAACGAGCCGTTCTTGTCGACACTGTTGACGTTCCTCCAATTTCACGTCGACAATTCAATGGTAGATTTGGTGGCGAGACGACGCACATTAGACGTTTTTACTAATTCGCATAAAGCTTCCATCACCTACTTTCATCTGTCGTGAATGGACTTCTCGAAGTCATGTGGACTGATCATGCTATTATTATTGATGTGAAATGAATAAATTATTGTTTTTCTAAATGGCTTTCTGTGTTGATATTACATTATGAACTTTGTTGAGGGATGGCTGCGAGGCAATAAAATTCAGGCCGGGTTCCTCGAGGTTCAAAAGTGACAAGGTGTTCGAGGATAGAAATACTGGTATTCTTCTCTTCTCCTTAACCACACTGGACAGTGTTCAAAAATACGTTCATGGACTTGTTGCTGTGTAGGGCCGATATATATCGCTTTATAAAATTAAGTAAACTGATAAATGCATACTGAGTTGGTAAAAATCGGTATCTTATCCTTAATTCCTGACTGGATTACCTGTCTGCTGGAGAATGTTATACATAAGATGGATGCTTGAAATATCTTCTTCAGACATTTTGAAGGCAGGATCGTAAGGATTTCTGCTTCACTGTCACCTTTGAATTCTAGGTTCATGAGGAGAGTTTGCTTAGGTATGTTGGCGATTTTCGGTGACAAGGGGTTTTCTTTCATGTATCTGTAGACAAATCTGCGTGGATACCCGTTCTATACTAGGGTTTCGCTCAGTGATTTTAATTCATAACGTATGGTATCTTGCAAACAGATTTCTCGAATCCTTGAGCATAACGTACGTTTTAAGCTTTGCTTTTGGGTCAGAGAAGCAAAGCTCTGGAAGATGATAAACTGTCCAGTCCATGTTAGCCTGCGATAGTTTTGATCTTTGGATCGAGTAGTCTTGTGTTCTGTTAAGTAGTGCATGCAGGAATGGAAAAAGTATGTGTGACTCTCGTTCTAGAGTGAATTTTATCGATTAGTGTGCGATGTCGGAAGGTTTTAGGAGGTAGTCTAGATCGAGTTTTCATCTGTGTACCTATTGCATAGGTGCAGTTGACTGATCAAACGAACAAGAATGTAGATTTCAAGACTCGCCATGAAGCAGTCAGCCGAGGGTGGACAAAGAGGAAACGGCATATTCACATCGCCACTCTCTGCGTATTATTGCTGACTGAATTTTAATTGTATATTAAACGTACCTCTGAGAAGTAGTTCTTCCAGGTAGCCGATGGGAAGAGGAAGTTCTATGTTATTGTAGAAATAATATTTGTAAAATCTCAGCGAAAATGAAATGAGTAATTCCGATGTTTTGTTCAACAAACTGGTCCGAAATTCCTCAGGTAAATTAATCGAAATTAAAATAATAGTGGCTTTTATTTATATGAGTTGATTTGCAAGTTAGACCACGGGTTGATATCAGTCAGAGAACCATTGGAAACCACCAGAAAGGAAGACGGTGCGTTTATAACGTCGAATAAGCGAAAACAAGAGAAATTCTATTGAAACCATTGGGTAGATGGAATAAGTAGGGAAAAGTAGCCAACATGGGATTCAGTGTATTTTCTCATCATTTCTATTATATTTCACTCTTCTAAAATTTCCCATACATATCATACGCGCACTTCCTAACTAGGAAAGTACTAATAATAAACTCCCATTAATACACCAACTACAAAAATTAAATTAAATTTAAGTAAACTTAATTCATAACAGTATGTCCAAAATAGTGCATATTTTATCAACACAAACAAGTGTAACGCTTTTGAAACCAAAACATACACAATAACTGTTAACTAGCTACATTTCCTTTATGGTCATACCATTTACTATAACCAATCTTGTCTCCTGACATGGAGCTAGAAATGCAGTTAATTTCACAGTAAATGTTTTAGGCAGGTGTCGCCCCAATTTTCATGTAAACCATTCACAAATCTTTCAGTCATGAATGCGAACTGAGCTATCGGTAAAGAAGGAGGTATCAGGAACATGTACACAATCATTTCTTATAGCCACAATGAAGCGCCTTAGTATAACAGGAACAAAGGCTCTATTACATGCAGAAGCACACCGACATGGTCGACCGGAAGCGGCGTCAATAATTCATGGAGGAAATGAACAACACGGGTAGGTAGATGTAAATCCATAAAACAGAGGACTGTTCCTTCCAGGTCAGATAGCTTATTGGATAGGTAGTCGAAGTTGTTTACATTGATCGTTGGGGCTTAGAGCAACTCTTCTCTAGGTGTTAAGTCATTGAATTAATCAGCTCACACTCCATAGGGCTCTCACCTGGCATCTACCCTTACCATTTTATTGACACACTTCTCTGAGTTCCGAGTGGAACACAGGGCTTTCAGCTCTAAAGCTGCAGTAGCAGTGGTATAACATTCTGAGAACTGAGGTTGCGGGACTCACACCCAAACTTCCTCACTCCCTTACCGGGCTTGCTACCGGTTAGGCGAGAAGTGTGTTGGCCAGCACTTGAACCCCGGATCACATGTGTCGTTGACGAGCATCCAACTGCTGAAACACCAACGCCATTTACCTATAATTTCAATCATTTCGTGCTGTGGTCACAGTTTCAGGTTAAAACACTTCAGTTGCTAGTTGGAGTGCCGCTGGGAGATCCCCCATATGATGCCCCGTTGTTGAGGCTGTTATGCAAAGACTTGAATCCATAATTTTATCAGATATCGACATTAAAATCGGATACGTTGTGTGAATGAGAAATGGTCCAGAAAACACTCACAACCTAATCAATATATTTGACGACAACAACGAGAGTTGAATCCAAGATCAAAACTCCATTTTTAAAGAAGATGGTCAAGCGAACAAGCACAGAAAAAATAGTTGAATAATGTATGGAGGAAATCAACTGACATCATCTCAGTCAAAAGACACGATATTCATTTTTTTCATATTCATGCATGCTAACAACTACGAACACTGATTCGACTGTGAAATTGTACAAATCTTGCAGACAGAAGACACCAAAAGTGGCGAGGAATCTCTTGAAACCTGGTTGATAGAAACATCTAAAATCAACACACATATTCACTCAGACCAAGTTGACTAAATGAAAAAGTCTTGTGTTGAAAAGAGTCTGATTCCAAGTCAGTAAATACAAATTAACAATCAACCACAACAAAGATCGTCAACAGAGGCAATCTCATTATTTATAAGGTATTAAAATGACTTCACTTCGTGTCAAAGCATACTCTGAAGATGTCGCAAATCAGCCACACAGCGTAGACAACATAACTATATAAATACTTCCGTCCTTAAGCAGATGGTCCCCTCCTTTTATAGATACCAATCTATCAAACCTAGTCTTTTCAAGGAGTTCCATCGACGCAATCTCCATTGGAAACGATAGGTGCAGGTAAACGTGTGCACGTACCACGTGGAGAAGTATGAGGGTAATTTAGTGCTAAAGTGATGTAAAAATTCGGAGGAAATTCATCAAATCCCCGATAAGCGCAACTTTACAGAGTGCTACATGAAGCTGCTAGTCTATCCAATGCTAACTAGCAATACGTTTTCGCGCACTGAAGTGATCATAACGAAAGGAGATTCCTCAGTGTGTCTGCTTCTTCTATCAAAGCTAAGCCACAGCAGGCACTCCAGTACATGATCTTCAACAGCACGTCAGAGCAAGAAAATTGAGTAGGGCCTGGAAAACATCCAAAGGGTGAGACACAATTACACAAAACACAACGATGATACTAAAAACGAAATGCTGTACGCTAACATGCTGAAAGTTAAACCTTGTAATAACGACGTTATCGCCTTCACAGTAAACACTTGGAATACTAACCTTATGATAATATATATATCTTCATTCGCAGACTGCAGAGACAATGATATATCATGTACTCCGGGACAAAATATGAGTGAAAAGCAGAACGCAGATGTCGTTGGAACACTTTATGAATAACAATGGTCTCAATAGAAGAAGGACACAAGGGCAAGGATACCACTGTCCAGAGGCCACCGGCTTTTGGATTAGCGCCTCTTTTCAAGATTCAAACCATCACACTTATGCTCCAGGGCGTCCATGTTGATTAGATCGCTCAAACAAAACGCGTCGATATCCACAAGAAAGACTGTTCGTCTTTGTTTTGCTCAAATCGCTCGATAACGACATCAGAATATAATTCGTCGGCAGCCTGCATGCGGCCGTAGATCATTTGATCGGCTAGTGCCTACATACTACACTTATTGAAGAGACCTCAATTTTTGGTAAGTATTCGTTGTGTTACACACTTTTATGCTTGTCTCCCTGCTAAAAGTCGATGGAATGAAACAAAAGATGGTGTCCTTAGGAGGCGGTTTTTACGGCCAGTATACAAAAGTTGAAATACCTATTGTTTCGTTAAGAAAATGCCAAGTTACTTAGAGACACATTTAGACATCGATCTGATGAGGTAGGCTGGCTTGTTTTGTTAATTATTTCCACTTACTTTGTTGTGTGCTTTTCGTGATGGTCTCAAAGCTCCTCTACATGTATCTCTTTAGGGGAAATCTACAGAAATACTCAGGAATTATCCACACATAGTATTTGCTTCTCTTACGGCATGGGCTTGATGTTTACAGGAAGATGCAATGTCCATTCTCTCTGTTTGAAAAATATTGACTGACGTGAGTATGCACAATTTAACTCACCATTTCGTGTTTTCTAGCACTTAAATTTTGTATTTATTGTGGTAACCATGTCTACACCTTTAGAATTCTTATGTCCTTTTACAGGTAATTTTTTATTTATTTTATTTTGATTACAGCTTGATACCACTTCTTACTTTCAGTACAAGTATGGAATTTTCAGCATGGATATCGGTAGCCCAAATCTTGCAGGCCGACCATAGATATCGGGTATGCGTCGGCAGGGGATCGAACCCTGGACCATCCGCATGGTCGGCGAGAGTCCTAACCACTGTGCCACAGGTGCCACTGGGATTTCATGGAGTTGGGTGCTAAAGAAAAAGATTTCCAGTGCCACTGATTTTGTATTACATGTTAATTCATGGATAAATGTATTCCCCGTTACTCGTTTGTATATTCTACTTGATTAGACTGAATATTAGCCTTCGCGTAAGTTGTGAGGTACAGAGTATATGAGGCTATCTTTGAAATACTGTTGTGTTACTCTATTTGATCAAATAAGCGTACACGTATATCCTAGTACTTCTTCGCGTTCATAATTGTGTCCTAAC